ATTATCCCCAATATACCTTCATTTGTGCTAAAAAAGCATTTATATACCTAAAGATATTTGTATTAGATATAATAAGATATACAATATTATAAAATATTGAATTTTAACATTTTATACTGCAGCATCAAATGACATTGTGGCTCCAGTTAGAGAAGATGCAAAATATGTGATAAAAATTGAACCACATAACAATGGTCCATTGTTTGTTGAAATGAATTTTTATATAAGAGCAGCTCGCAAACATATGAGTAAGTAATTTGTTTGTACACTATATATGTCATTTACAAACTGTGTATGTATTATTATGAATTGTAGTTGATAATTGGTGCAAATCACAAGGAAAGAGGCGAATAGGTATTCCAACATATGAGGGATCAGGTTCTCACATATATCATGGTCAAAGATACAGATTTTTAGTGATTCCAAGATATGGTATTGACATTGGAAAATTATTTATATCAAATGGGAGAAAATTACCAATGAAACTTGTTAACAGGCTAGCTGTTCAAATGGTATGTAATTATAAATATTGTGAAATTAAAACTTAAACTAGAACAATATAATTTTATGATCTTTGTAATTTCATAATTTTTCTACATTTATATAGTTGGATGCACTTGAGTATATTCATAGTCGTGGATATGCTCATGCAGATGTTAAAGGATCAAACATTTTATTATCTTTAAGTGAAGAAGGTATTGCAACAAAAAAATCTCAAGCTTATTTAGTCGATTATGGGTTAGCTTACCGCTTCCGCACAGGAGCAGGTGTACATAAACCTTTTGTTCATGATGAAAGAAGAGCACATGAAGGAACATTAGAATTTACATCAAGAGACGCCCATCATGGAAGTAAGTTTTATAAATGTAATATATATATCTTAAAACATTATGTTTCATTCTTTTTCGCTACAAATTAACATTATTACAGCACACTCAAGAAGAGGAGATTTAGAAACATTAGGATACAATATATTGCAGTGGTTATGTGGTAAATTACCATGGGAAAAAGAAAATGATAGTATACCATCAACAATGAATCCAGAAGAAGTCCATGCACAAAAAGAAATATTACTTTCAAATTTATCTTTACTTATGCATAAATGTTTTCCATATAAAAAACCATCACCTCGTAAGTTACTAAATTTTCTGTATTAACATTAAAAATATTTTCAAATTTAATTTTATTGAAATGTAAAGAATAATAAACATTTTACTAATTTTGGTAAACTTTGGAAACAATGTCTGAT